AAAAAAAAAAAAAAAAAAAAAAAAGAAAGAAAAACCCCCCACAAATAAACCACAATAACTTTTTCAATTCTCAAATTCTCTTATTATAAACTGCAGAATAAAAGTAAAATAAATGGAAGCCAGGTATGTTCAAGAGTTCTCAGAGAGAAAGGAAAAAAACAAACCAGTATTAGGATGCTCCTCCTAATGGGCTCTTCTAGCTAACACCGAAGAATTGATCCCACAGTTACAAGATCCATAGAGTTTTGCTGCAAGTCCTCACTGGTACTTAAAATTTAATGAACTTGTCTTTGAAATCCTGTTTACCTCAAACACAACTGCATTTTGCTCTAACTGCTATCAGGTGTAGCCAGCAAATCCGAGCATTGAATTTGGTATTTTTGCGTTGGCTTTGAGAACCCAACACATAAATGAAATAGAACTATATCTCAAGACAAATGAACACCTGCCCCTCCACTGCACTCAATAAAGATAATCTATAGACAACTACTTGTAACTTCTACAGAAAAATTCCAGAACTTTCCCCAAAGTTGGTGCTGCACACAGAGAGCACCAGAAGCAACACCTCTGCAGGAAGAATGAAACCACTTCTATAAACAGTAACAGCCAGGAAACGGGAATCATGTACCTCTGAATAGAGACCATCTCTAGACATGTAATTTCCAGAAACTTAGATTCACTTGAGGTGAAGGCAAAAATATGCATCTAAGATTAGCAGCCATTTAAAAGATCCAGACTTCAAATTTTAGTCAATACGGTAGATGCAAACGTTTCCATAAAACAAACAGAAGCCCTCAAAATAAATTTGATAGTTTAAAATATGCTAGTTGAATTAAATCATTGCTCATCACTTACTAAAATGTATTAATAAGACCAGACCGTAAGCAAGCAAGCACAATAATTCTGTACTTTAAAAAATACACCCTTATATTTCCTTGTCGCTACGGCTTGCTTTAGTCATACATTTAGAAAATACACCCATCAGCACACAACTCTCACTTCCATACTACACTGAAAAAAGCAGCTTTAGCATTAGCTTTTTGTTTCACTCCAAAGTACAACCTACTTCATGTGTGCACACCAAAAACTGCCTGCTGAATACCAACAGCAAAACCTCTGCTGAAGTCACAGGGAATACTTATAAAACAAGGTATATGTATATGTACACATATATTTGGAAACCAGTAAGAGGAAATGGCAAGGCAAAAGGACAGGTAAGAATATAGCAACCAGTAGATGCCACTTTAAATTCTAAGATTTGATGGAAATGACAGCTTGAGGTAAACCTCAAAAAGATGCTCTCAATGTGAAGGAGGGTTGAGGACAGTCCAGCCCAAACCACGACAGAGGTGTACACATCTGAAAGCCTACAGAGTGCTCCCTTAATGGGTACATACCGTAGTGATAGGGAAATATATATTTTTCTTTCATGTTTTTGTAAATCATCCAGGGTCTTCCTGAGCGCTATACAAATAAGCTTATTCAATTAACTTTTGATTCATAAGTCACAAATGCAATTGGTCACCTAGATAGAAAGTCAAAGATAAGACATGCAGTTTCAGGAAAACGAGTTCTATGGAAAAGTTAAATAAGAGTTCAAAAGTGTTCTTTGTCTTTTACTTCACACACTAAGTAGCACGCCTCATATTCCAGCTCATGGGCAACAAGACACTGGAGCAGGGAGAATGCCACCTATTAACAGAGACCATTTACTTTCCATTACAGCGACCTTGCATTGAACAAACACAAACAATTACCATGATTTTATAATGTAGAAGAACAGCTGCTAAAGTTACAGCGAATGTTTTTTCAATTAAGACAATCTTGATGACAGTCATTGGAAATGAATATAAGGATACGAACTGCTGATAAAAGAAAATAAAGGGAAAGAGATGATTTACCAAGGAGCTAACATTATGTCCTAAAGCCTAGCAAGGACAAACCAGCTCGGAGAGGCATACCCTGGGGAAGCGTGTCATGCTGTTAGTATAAAAAAAAGATCACTTTTTCTTAGGAAAGGGACTTATCTGCCTAGGAAGATATGCACAAAGTCGTGTACCCAAGACAAGTGACAGTTGTGAACATCAATAAATAATGGAACTGGGCTGGGTTTTTTTAAACCGCTTTGATTAATGTAACGTTTTAAAGATGCTCATGTGAATTAAGCAGCTATTTCACAGGTTGGCCACCACAAAAAGAGCAGGAAAGGCGAAACGCCCACCCCAAGCACAGCTGCTGCAGAGAACTGGCGTGGATCTGCCACAGCAGGAGGCCCAGGCTTGGCTTCCTCATGTCATGTTCATGCTTGAGGTGTGAGGCAACCCATGCTACTCCCCCGGTGCTCATCCTCCTCCTCCTGGCCAGGATGGAAGCAAGGAATGAAACGACCCTCGATAACAGCACTAGGGATGTTACCAGTTAGATGAAGTAAGGTACCAACCAGGCACTGGTGGTGACCCAGGCGCTTAGCACAAAAAGGAGAAAAAGCAGTAAGAAGTTACGTTTCTTTCTGGCTTCTTATCCCTTGCAGGTCTTAGAATCATAGAATGGTTTGGGTTGGAAGGGACCTCAAAGATCATCGAGTTCCAACCCCCCTGCCATGGGCAGGGACACCTCCCACCAGACCAGGTTGCTCAAGGCCACATCCAGCCCGGCCTTGAACACCTCCAGGGATGGGGTATCCACAGCTTCCCTGGGCAACCTGTTCCAGCGTCTCACCACCCTCATAGTAAAAAATTTCTTCCTGATATCTAATCTGAATCTTTTTTCTTCCAATTTAAAACTGTTTCCCCTTGTCCCCTGTCTTCAGCTACAGGGTGGCAAATACATGCCCGTATTCCAGAAAGAAACTTTCTTTTCCCGCAGCCACAAACATAAGCAAAAGTTTATGCCAAAAAAACCCCCAAACCTTAGAAAAAAAAATAAATTAGTAATTCAAAGAGGGATGTGATTTAAATGACAGCGTGCACTTGGTGTCCCCAGATGAGCTTACAACACAGCAGAAGGAGTCTTGAGTATCTCTGACATCCAAACGAGTTCCCGGAACTTCCCAGGATGTTCTGCAACATGTTTAGCAATTTACTTTTAAATTACACCATCACTAAATTTATAACTACAGAGCCTGATCCAAACCCAAATGAAATTGATGGAAGGACCTCCACTGATCGGCCCGCTGGCACACAAATCTTGGCTGATTTTTAACAAAGAATATGAAATATTACTATTTCTTTAAAAAAAAAAAAAAAAAAATATTTTCTGCAGATACTCTTAGAGCAATATCAAGCGCAAGCAGGTGGTACA